CGTGTTTAACACCGACAGACAAAATTAAGAGAGGACAAAATGAGAGTGCACGCCGGCTTGAGATAGTATGTGTATGTCAGTACATGTCTTTCTGCGTGTGTTTGTGTGTGCATGTGCGTGCATGATTGTGTGTATGTGTTTGTGTTTGAGAGAGAGAGAGAGAGAGAGAGAGAGAGAGAGGGAGAGAGAGAGAGCGTGTATAAGAGTGTGTGTTTGTGTGTGTGTATGTGTTTGTATGTGTGTGGTTTGGCACCTCCAGTAATAAAGAGCTAGTGCACACCTTAGTGCACTGAAAATATGACTACAGGTCATCTAAAAATACATGTACCTGTACTTACATGCACTACACATCGTGATTATGCAGTTATAGTGATTACTGATAACACCATTCGCCTCCCTCCCCCTTTTTTTCCCCGGTATCCAAAGATTGGATTGACCCTAATGTTTTAGTAAGACTTTTACGGCAGTTGCAACACAAAAAGGTAACATAAGAGCCGAAAATTAAAGGTGTGACAAGAGAGTAACAAACACATAAATCAAAAGGAGGAGAGATAAGGACGATAGATGTTTGATAGGAAAGTAGGAACCAATCACACCAGAACACCCGCCAACCATCCACTAGGGTTGGTTGAAGCAGTCCACCTCTTAAAAAATATATAAATAGTCGCAGTCATTGATAATTATAATAAACATGTAAGTAGCTTAAGGATGGACAGGGGGTGGAGGGGTTACGTTAAGCAGTGTAGTCAGTTAGGCGGAGTGTGATAAATAAATACTTAAAATAGAGCTGAAAAGACATAGACTAGAGCGAGGGCGTAAAGTTCAGAGTTAATACATAATATTATTATATCATAGATACTTTTACCGGCAGGTAATAAAACAACACCAAAACAAAAAGATACGAAAAACTTTATAAGTTTGGTTTGTCTAAACATTTCGTTGAGGCATAAAGATTGTCATTGTCATTGTCATATTGATTAACTTGCGTGAGTTCACTTGTATACCAATAGAAATGTGGTTTGTTTGGGTTTGGGAAGCCGGGATAAACAAGGGAGGTGGGGGGGGGGGGGGGGGGGGGGGTGAACAGATGTGGTTTTACTTTAGACCTAAGAAAAAATCATATGAAATTTATATAACCTCCATGGAGTTTACCAGATTCCACCAGCATCTTACCAAAAACGAAACCACACTTTTCCAAATCGATACCTCCAACAAGTAAACCATAAAAAAGCAACAACAACAAAAAACCGGCGGGATACAAACAGGAAATTCAGCATGCCCCTCGAACTTCCACGGCCCCTTTCTCTCCCTTGTCTCAAATTTCTAGCGCATTCTCCTGTCGCTAAGTGAAAGTGACGTCATTTGTCTCCACATCGCCGTGACATGAAACCTCGACATTGCTCGGCCTGGCCAGTGACAAATAGTGGGAGGATCTTGCGGAGCAGACACCGCGAGAGGCTGGCCAGACGCTCCACGTCACTACATCTGGCTTACTGCGTCCGCGTAACAACAGTCGTAGTTGGACGGGACCAGGCATGTAGGTGGTACAGTCACCACGGCTATTTGCCGCTACAAGAGAATAGACGACCCAGTATGAAACCGGGTCACTTTCTTCTTTCTTTCAATGTCGCGGTACGAACACGCAGTTTAGTCCAACCATGTCTTAAAGGCGGGGTAATGTTAGAGGCCTGTGTTGTTCTTCTTCTCATCAGCGCAAATAATTACAAGTTTGTGACAATAAGAACCAAACAAAACATAGGAAAATATTCCTCATTAGACATTAACTAAGCTATAAGGACGGCCACGTATCCCGTGCACTAATGTACATTTACGTACAATGGCAAACAACGAATGTCAAGGCTGGAGGTTTATTTGTCACAACCGACCAACAAACATTCGTAAGGACAACGAAGATAGACTCCTCTATGTACAAGGCGCTCTCGGAGTCGGAAACAATCCTGACCATCCATTTTTTTTATTCTGAGCAAGCCACTGGGGAAAAAGGAGGACGTTTACAAACATGGGATTCCTGTGCAGCAAAAGAGCCATCTCACACGTACAAGGTATGCCCATGTATACACAAAGGATGGGGGGGGGGTGTCGAGTGGAGATTGCACCGATTAAATTTCACAACGGCCAAATTTTGCCAGGAACAGATAAATGAAGGAGAAGGAGAAGGAGAAGGAGAAGGAGAAGGAGAAGAAGAGAAGAAGAAGAAGAAGA